TTTCAGTTATTTCCCCCACCACCGGTAGGGTCCACTAGTCTGTCTCTACGAGCGAGTGTGCGAGCGTGCGATCGCGATGTGTTCCTCTGACGGTGTACGATGACTGCGATGACTGCGATGTATTCGGCTGTCGCTGTACTTCTGCATGGCACACGACGCTCTATGTCTGCTTACAGTGCTTACCGCGAGCCGATTGTGTGTATCCGTATTTCAACTACACCACACTGTGCTACGTACTTAGTACCTACTACTACCGATGCGTTACTTGCGAGTGTGCGTGCACGAGTGCGCGAGTCCCCGCGTTTGCTTTGTGCTTGTGCAGGCGGACGATTCATCCCCTCTCGCCAAACTCTGCGCCTTATGCCGCGGCCCGCGGCCCAATTCACACAACTTAACCTCTCGCAGATCGCAGGAACACAACTGATACTTCGCCGCTTCGCCGTAAGCCCGACGGCCGCGGCGGTCAAGCACAGTTTGCAGCGTAACATGCATCCTATGCATCGCGTTCGGCTCTGTCGTTTCATCTTGCTTATGACTCATAACTGATTCAGAGTAACGATTATCAATCTGCACATCATCTCCAAAATGCGATATGTGTCACAAGAATAGTATTAAGGCTTAGTCTTCCTATCCCCGCGCAATTGTCTGTGAAACCGACGAAACAGTTTTTCGCAAATATTTTTTTCCATGAACTTTAATAGTTTGCACTTTTGGGTACATTATGTACTTGTAATTGTAATTGTAATATAATTTAAATATATATTGCATATAATTATAAAAAAATGAATATACAGTAGAATCCGATTAGTATGACGCCGGATATATTGACAACCGCTTAATATGACGTAATTGCACTAGGAATTTGGTTTCCATATAAAATTCCTTAAAAAAACAGCTGTCTAATCGGATATATTGACATCGCTTACATTGCGATTGCTATGTCTTTTGTGCACAATAGCACCAGGGACTCTTTTTACAATAAAATTATGTAAAGAAATCAATCAAAAATTACTGATTACTTACATTAAAAAAACACATTTTTATGTTTATGGGTAGGGTAGACTAATTATTAATGGCCTACCACGGTTGTCTCATAAACAAATAAAATTAGATTTTTTTAACAATTATATTTGATAGTAGAGGGCAAAAAATGTATAAATTCATAACCAGCCATCACCTTTATTCTTATGACTTTGCTATCAGAAGATAAGCGGCACATAACTGCGATAAAAAGGACCAGCTGAACCTTTAATTTGGCAAAGGTGTAAGCAATAAAATAGTAAAGTTTAAAAAAAGCAATTTTACAAGAGATTAATTGAATAAATTGTTATTCCGGCTCTTCTGATGAATATTTCTGACCAATAGCAGATTAATGTAATATACTGTGTTGTCTTTGTTACAATGTACCCACAGAATTAATATTTTGCATTGGTTCAATAATGTAGCATAAAATGCCTTTAAAATTTAATAGAAGAAATTGCATCTGTTCGCCCCCTGGTTGTTCCACTTTACCCCGTATGTGAAGTAAAATGGGTCAGATACCAAATGTATAAATAATAGTAAAAAATATAATATTTATATAATTAGGAATTATGTACGTATGTATGTAAGTTTTTCTGAACATAGTTCGATAGATGCTTCTTTGATGTATGTTATGTGTTGTTCATTGGGTTTAGACAGTATAATTACCGTAAGTCAAATTGGGCCGTTGTGCCTCCGCCCTACCCTATGTCAATTTTATTTTATATTAAATTTTAATGTGTCATTTTTATTTTTAATTAAAACGTTTGTATTGGCTTTTCTTTTAAATTACTGAAACATGTAACATATTTGCATATTAAAAAGTTTTTCTTCAGTACGCTTTTAATGACGACCGGTTAGTATGACGAGATTTCGGCGTCCCTTCGATGTAATACTAAGCAGATTCTACTGTAATTATATACATTTTTTTATAATTATATACAATATATACTTAAATTACATGACAATGATCTCAAGATATGAGGTTTTTAAGAATTTTAAGGTATTTTATGTTTATTTTTGAAATAAAAAGTTTTATGTTTTTCTTTCCTAGACTATAAGAAAAAATATGATTTTTTTAGGTTGTTGTGGAAAGACTGATAATCATTAAAGTAATAAATAATTTATGGTAACAATTTATATTTTTTGTTTTATTACATCTTATGGTATCTGTAAAATAAGCCACTAAGTTCTAGCCACTTACCTACAAGCGAGCCCTTAAATCACACAAGTCTAACAATTTATGAGAACAATAAATCAGTTACTAAAATATCTTATCAATAATCATGTAAGAGTATTTTATTTTTTCTAATAATAGAGCATCTGTATAAAGACGCGAAACGCTTTTACGATGCTACGCGATATGCAAAATATTTAATTCCATTACCAACGCTCCTGGCAGAATTATATGCAAATGCATGAAGCATATACAAACAGAACAAACTGACATTAATTTTTCACATATACGGATATACACGAATGGTTTATTAGTATCCACTGTGGTTTCTTTTTTTCGTCACCCCATTGGAAGAATTTCAGAAGCATTTCAGCATCTTTTAATTAGAAAATTAAAGTTTTTGTTTTATGGTTATACATAGTTTTTTTCTGCCGTCCGGACTGTATTCTAGTAGATTGCAGACTGTTGGATTTTTAAGTTTGAATTAGAAATTCGACTTACATGTGCAAATATGTAGGTTTACAGTTCTACATTTTGAATTTGAAACTATTGTTATCTGATAGAAATGCATCTATAATTAAACAAGCAATCAATATTAAAAATAAATTATTCTAATAAATATTCTATATATATATATTTCTAGATAGCTTCAACTATTTTAACATTTTCTTTACTATGAAGTTTTTGAATTTAAAATAATAAGTATGACTGAAGATTTGATACTATAACCGAACATGTTTTTATCAGGGGTAGGTAACTTTTTATATTATTTTTGCATATGTTTTTAAATAATGTTAAACTGGTGATGTATGTCATCGTGCCTTAAAATTTAAAAAATTAGGTTTTTGAGAATTTTGAACTTTTTGAAAGTTATTGATTTTTTTTTTTAATTTGTTTTTTTTTATATTTTGAGTTATTTTGAAAATTTTGATTTGAAAGCTTTGAAACGTAAAGATATATACAAATTTTCTTTTTTTTTGCTATTACCATAACTTACTTCACAGGAAGTAAAAATTGTAATAATTTGGGCAAGTATGTTGACGAATTGGAGGTCTCAAAATCTTATATCGTCAGTCTAACTAATCGAGCAGCTGCAACATTACTGTAATGTGGAATACACACAAAACAACTGTCTTTAACTTTCGACATGGAATGATTTTTGTTGTATGCGAGAGAGTACATGCCTGCTTCACATAATATAAGAAGGACATCGAACTATTCTCTCCTCCATTTTACTTTTGAAAGAGGTAAGCTCATTTATTTGCTTCAATAATTCATCAATATTGATCCAGCGGATTTATATTATGCAATAATAAACTCCAGTTATAAGCGTTTCTTACATATGTGATGGCCGTAGACTACTCTAATGTAGATAATATTTGTTTTGTTTGTATGTATATTAGAATGTTTTTTTCGTTACCAGTGTCAATTATTGAAAGAAATTATTAATAGAATTATGAAATAAAAAGCAAACATGGCAATTTTTGAACAAAATTTACCTGCCGTTTAAAAGTATTGATATCAATGAGTCGCATAGAAGAATAATTTATAACATCTATAAAAATGATACTCTATAATTTTTTTATATAAAATTGTTTTAACCAATAATATATGAATTTGTAGTTAGTAGAAAACTTCATTGATCTTAAAATAAATAAGTGCTTGTTGGGAAAAAAATAGTCAACGAGAAAATTATGTTTTAAAATTTTGCTTAAATTTAATTTAATTTATAGAAGTTGATTTATTTAATAGTTACTTATTTAAATTAATGTCTTTATTAAAAATATTTTTGCACTTTTATATATCTCTAGTTGATTTGTACTAATAATCTATAATAAACCATCTAGTCTAGCCTAAATAGCAAAAGAGGTATTTATCTTATTATTGAAGATGATATTATAGTTTGTACTTATTCTACCAATTGTCATTTGTTGGTCCAAGATTATTTATATTGGGATTTAAATTAACTAAACAATTAGTATAATTTTTTTTCAGAGATAATTGATATAAGATCTATCACTAATAATACATAACCGGATTCATGTAAGAATTTTGTGCCAATATAATGCATATTTATTCGCTACTTGACCTATAACAAATCTTGAGGAAATATTATATATACCCGTTGCTAAATTATGATAGTTCTATTAATGATAAAAATAAATAAAGAATTAATATGGCAATCATTATCCAATTATATATGCTTCCCCTATTTGATGCATAACCAATATAAATAATTTTAAGAAACTACAATTAGTACAAAATATTTCATATATATATGTATATATATATATATATATATATATTTATATATATATATATATACTATTTATACATATATATATATATATATATATATATATATATATACAAATAACATATCAATAATAAAATAATATATATATATATATATATTATATATATATATATATATATACGAGTATATATATATAAATATTAATTATTTTATTATTGATATGTTATTTGTCATTACAATTAAGATTTCTGTCTAGGATGATACCCAAATATTTAACAGATCTACCCTTATGGGATGATATTATTATTGATGTGAGTCATATAAGTAAGGTAAGTATTAAAATCAATAAATCAACAAATCTTGAGGACCAATATAATTATTTTTATATGATCTGTTTGTTGGTAGTAATATAATATTATGATATAGATAAAAGAAATATGTATTATGTTGAAGAAACTGTCACCAATTATAATTTATTATGAATATCAGGTACAAATGGACAATAGTCATATCAGGTAAAAACACGAGCGACTTAACCTAAAGTTTTTACAATCTGTCAAAGAGCGCTCTCGTAAGTATGTCATATTTCATTCGGCCGTGCATATCGACATCCGACTTGCCTACAATGTCTTCTAATTCATCATCTGTGAATTTGTCTTTAAAAAAATTCATCATCATGACATGCAATTGAATCATTGTTATGAATCCTGATCCTTCCATGTCAAAAGATTGGATAATTTTTATAACTTCATTTTCTTTCTTTTGTCTTTCTAGGCGATCTGCCATTAAATCTAAAATAATAATTAAATTACATTTGTTAAATATTATAAAAATATAAAGACTAGTGGTGTATGGCATCGTGCTTTAAAGCAAATTGCTGGAAATTCCCATACCGTAACGAAATGTTCGAGAAATATTAAATGTTTTCAAATAGATTATTATTAATACTGTACTGTCTAATATTTATAAGAATTATATAAACCTAATTAGAAAGTTATAATTATTTATTTAGAGTATATGATTGTTCTTTAGAACTTTAGCCAAAATTAAAATTAAAATCTGAATTATTTTCGATACACAAAAAAAATTTTCTTGAAAAAAAAAATATTGAAATCATTTTTTTTTCCAAAATTTTTTGAATCATTCACATCCGATGCATAGTTCTCTCAAAAACTCGATTTCTATTTTCTGCACTCTTTGCTCCGTATCTCCGTAACGGCTAGACTTGCCTTGGCAAAAACTTCAACTATCAATAGTAATCGAATATTTTTTGAACCATTCAAATCGGTTGATCCGTGCTCCCGAAAACGTGGACGAAAAAATGCAGACATACAGAACACACACATCCATTTTTTCTGAGGTATGCCAAAATGTTCAGAAACCTTCAAAACGTGAAAATATAGAAAAAAAATATTTTCGATTTTCGGCCCATACTATAACCAACCCTACGGGAAGTTAAAAATTCGTTAAACCTATAAAAGTTCGTTGCGCAAATAATAGGTAATCTATTGCACTTTATTCGTGACAGCCAAATTTAATTTTTTTAATTAGGTAGAAATTAAAAATAATACATAAAATATGATACAGATACTGCATAAACATTTACTACATTTTCAGCATTTAAAAAATTATAGTATAATTTAAGATGACTGATTACGTACCAAGGAATTCGTCGAGGTTGAGATACCCTTCTTTGTCACTAATTGCAACGGCTTGAGATAACTCGCTCAATGAAGGAAAATGACCCATAACAGTTAAAATATCTATTAAATCACGACAATCGATCAATCCTTCGGATTTAAAATCGAATACTTTGAAAGTTTCTTTATACGAGATAACTTGCTCTTCTGATAGCCGATTCATTTTCTATCTGAAAATTATGTGTTTAAAAATTATATTAACATCTTTGCTGATCAATACATTTTCGACAATAATGATTGTTCTATTCAATAGAATGGATATTATTAAAAATATTATCAATTTAACTAAGCTAGACACTGCTAGCATAAAAATAAGCTTTCTTGTGCATGAAAATTTCCGTCCATTTTTACGTGCCATTTTGGACAAAAATGAAGAATTAGGTTAGGTACAAATTAAAAATTTCATATGAGTGCTTACAACCACATGTGATGATATTATTTGTTGATTTAATTGATACTGATTATCTTGAAGTTTGAAATTTATATAATTAAATATATAAGCATGAATATGTATATGTAAATATTAAAAATAACTTCAGAATGTTGATCTATTCATACCGTTCTTTCATTTGGTGTTTATTATTAAAGTATTTACTATAATTATAGAAAATAAGGCAACTCAACTTACCTAATATGCTTTATTATAACATCCAAGAAAACAATACTGTAACTTATGCTCGTTTTTTCCTTTAATGTAGTATTTATTAATCACACTTGAAGCATAATCTAATAAAGGTGAACAGCGAGAAAAAATTTTAATACCTGTCACCATGGTAATATCAGTGTTGTCTTATTTTGCTTAATTAAAATTTAGATAAAAATTAAATTAAGCGTTTAATTTACAAATTATTTATTAATGAATAATATTATGTTTTATTATTTTTCAGAGTTAAAAATGCTATTTAGAAGAGATATACTTGTATAATCTGTGCAAAACATATACTGCTTGCCTATGGGGTCGATTCACACGTGGCAACACGTATTCAACAGGTGATTATTTAAATTTTAATTTTTGATAAACAGATTTAATTATAAAAATAGTACTTCACGAATATTAATTTTATTAAGTAAAAATTATATACAGACATATTCAACAGTTCTTTTTTTATTTAATAAATTTGTAAACATATAAAAATAGAATTAAAATGTTTTTAAAAAGGATAATGTTTTCAATATAGTTTTTAGAATCCATCGCATTAAATTGACTGTTAATTAATTAAAATCTTTATGCATCTTTCTGTATCTTATTCATAAACAAAAATAATTTAAAATGGTACATGAATATATTTTATTGTTCAGTTTCAATTTTATGACGAGCTCAACTTATTTAATGATAGCAAGTAACATAAATCGATAAACCTGATCGCTTCCCCTTGATATAATGATTGTCATCCCCCACATAATTTTTTAATGCATGCAGCCAAACTCGATCATGGTTTTATATTTAAACATAATAATAAACATGAAACAAATACATGAAAACACCCCTGCATAGACTTATATGTTAAATAAAAAAAAAAAAATCATTCACTTAATATGATGTATTTTAGAAAGTTACAATATATAATTTTGATTTTCATCGTGTTGATTTACAAAAACAAAACAGTTCTTCTTATTTTTTTATTTTTAATTTTAATATACTAGCAAATTTTTATTTTTATTTTATTTATATTTTTTATATTTGAACAGCAATCAGAACTGTGTGTTTTGTGATGCAGTTCTTTAACTTAATATCTCTAAGAGGCAACTTAGTGGTTAACAATTTTCTTTCTGATGAGATTATATTACCAAGATACCAAATTTGAAATTTTTAATCTCAAGTAAAAACCTGATATCACTACTGCTTGATATCAAGCTAAACAAAGTCTGTATCAAACCCAGAACCAGTTTCTGCAAATCCACGGTCTCTATAGTATATAGAGCTAGCCAATATTAATTGTATAGAGTCTATACAAATAAATTAATATTAGTATTACGATATAAGGTAGATATGTATTTGTTTCGTTTGCTATACATTTTCCCCTATTGATGCAAATTAATGATGTACGTACGTTAAGAAACTTTATATTTACATAGAACATTGGAAAAAATATCAAAAAGAAGTCAGTATTTAATTTATCATGAATGCGTTTATCGCCATGTCAGTCATATGTTTCTGATGCTGAAAAGTTCTACATGAGCCATGTCAGACATACGCGAGTGGTAGAAGGAGAAATAAGTTTTGTATGTGTGGCATATAAAATTGTTTTCTTCCAGGAATTTTGACAAAAGAAGAAAAATAGTTTTCTTCCAGATTTTTTGTTACTTCCCGGGCAAGTTATAGTAATTACAAAAAAATCGAATATGAAAATTTTTATATATATCTACTATTCAAAGATTTCTGAACATTTTGGAATACCTTAGAAAAAATGGATGTATGTGTGTGTGTGCGGATACAAATATTCGTCGACGATTTCGGGAGCACCGATCAACCGATTTGAATAATTCAAAAAACATTCGATTTGTATTGATAAGAAGACGTGCTGATTAGTTTTTGGCAAAGGCAGGTCTAGCCGTTCCAAAGATACGGGGCAAAAAGTACCAAAAACGGTAACGCAGTTTTTAAGAGAACGGAGCGTCCGATTTCAATAATTCAAAAAACATTTTACTAGTATTGACAAGATAAAGAACTGATTAAAATTTTGGGAAAGCAGGTCCAGCGGTTATGGACTCTCAATAAAAATAAGTTAAAAAAATGACATTTGGCGGTCAAAAATGATTATTGGACATATGTACATTGAATTATCAGATATTTTATAGAGATTTTAATAATGTGTACACATTTTGTGTAAATTTTTTCGGGTTCCGTACCAAGAGTTTTAATTACGGTACGGGAAGTAAAATGTTTATTGGACATATGTACACTGTATTATCAGATATTTTATAGAGATTTTAATAATGTGTACACATTTTGTGTAATTTTTTTTGAGTTCCGTACCAAGATTTTTAACTACGGTACGGGAAGTTCCAGCAATTTGCCCTAAGCCACATTAAGTTTTCTTGATAAATTTTTAACTAAGTTATCATGGCTCATGTAAAATTATTTCTGGTGTAATCGTGGCGATTAACGTGTTAATTTTTATTGGAAATTTGGATATTATGTTTCTTAGCCAAAAAGCGCCGCATTGCATCGCATGTTTCGGTCTGTTGATAGCTTAGATTTTTGTTTAGGCCCGGATTCCCAATCGAATTGTTCGCGATAGTGAATAATACGAAATACGATTGTATGTCAGTTTGAGAATCGTCGACTAGTATTAATTGATCCACTCGCGAAGGGGCGGCCGGAGAATGCGCAATAAAGACTATATAGATATGTCACAAGATGCAATTTCTGTTGTTCTGTTCATACCCTCCGAGATGGGTGGCGGAGCGCGGATTGCGAATTGCAAAAAGGGAATAGTCGACGCCCCGACCGCTCCGACACCGGCAACGGTTAACAAGCCGAACGCGAGGCGAGATGCACGGGCATCTCTCGCGCCAACGCCGACTTCCGCAGCCAGATGAGACGCAAACCTACCTACCTTTATATTCACCTGGACACATTAGGAAACATGCATTTTACATTTGTTGCAAACATACATACAGGGCCGGCGCTACCCTGAACGCATCGGGCGCATCGTAGAGGGCACCATCACGAGATTCGGATATATAATATATGATATAATATCTTTTTTTAAAAAAATATAGCATCTATAGAACTTAATAATTAGTATATAAATAAATTAACATACTTTTTTATATGATTTCAATGACAAACTGTAAAAACAGTTAAAAAAATAGTTGGGCGGGGGCGCCAGGGAAAAAATGGCAAGCGGGCGCTAAGGACTGCCGGTCCTGCATACATACATATGTATACCATATAATATTTTGTGTAAAATCTGACCTTGAAATTTATTTTTCAGACTAGTAGAAAGAATTGCAGATGAATCCATAAATTAAAAACTAAATGTCAACATTTAAATTAGGCCTTGGTAAGAAAAAAATAATATACGAGTATGTAAAGAATACAAAATTTATATAATTAATATTAGAATTCAAGTCTTTACTTTTGTATGCTCAGATTCTGGTTAAAAGAAACATATAAATGACTTATAAATATCATATTAAAAATTATACTGTATAAAATTAAAAATAAACTCCATTATCAAAAAATGTGTTACAAAGTTATGTATTTTTTAGAGATTGTCTACTAAATTTGTATCTGGTATGGATCCAAATAGAATAAAAATCACTCAGCAATTATTATTTCTTAGTGATTTTTATCAGTGTAATAATTCAAACTCATATGGTTATAATCTTAGATTATAACGAGGTTTTTCTAATTATACATTTTTCAATTTAATTAATGAGATAGAGAAATATTAAACAATTTTTTCTTCTGTTAACTTGGCCTTTAGCATGAGAAAATTTTTATTGTTTGCATATATGATTTAAATAGTCTTATCAAATTAATCAGCGAAATCAATAAATAGATAAATCTCCACACAAATTGACATTATCATTTATCCTTTCCAGGAATTGAACGTTTATGAGCTTAGAGTCGTTACGATGATTTTTAGGCAAGGATTTCATAGGGATAAAAAACATAAAAAATCGTACTTTTTAGATATATTAAAATTTTTTATATACAGTAAATATTCAAACAAAATAATTAAATTCTCAAAAAATGATAAGACGCGAAAATATAATTGTGAATGCAGACACTCTTCGTACGACTTCATAATTAAAATCTCTAAATAGCTATGTATAACATATCTATATATTATTAGTGGGATACAACTTATTTTTTAATTATCTTATAATAATAAATATAATATTAGCAGTATCTTTGTTTATTGTTTCAAAATCTTCAACTATATTTATTAAATTTTTAACTTTTAATAATCTTACCTGAGCCTACGTGCATTTTTTTCCTGGGAGATAAAAATTCACTATCATCACTTGAAACATCATTTTCTTCACCAAACTCAACATCACTTTCGGATAAGTTTTTAAAATATTTTTGCTGCTTGCCATTTTTATCGTTTTAAAATTATTTACAATTATTTTCTTTAATCAAAACACTGTGTGGATAAAACAAAAGCACTAAAAATTCATGCAAAATCGTAACCCTAGGAGGTCAAA